CTTATATTGTATAGCATTTGGATTTACATTGAAAATCAGTGCCTAGTAGAGCAACAAATGTGTTCAGGTGACATTAACATTTTAAAGATTATTTTTTTCTTTAGGGTAATAGTTATTAAAAGAGAAATAAATTTTGACAATATCTTTTATTTATATATATTTTTAAAGATTTTATTTATTTGAGAGAGAGAGAGAGAGAGTGCATGGACACACAAGTGTGGGGGAGGGGCAGATGGAAAAGGAAAAGCAGACTCCCTGCTGAGGACAGAGCCCAACGGACTTGGGGGCTCCACTCCCTCTGGGATCCTGAGATCATGACCTGAATGGAAGTGAGATGCTTAACTGACTGAGCCACGTAGGCACTCCCACAATATCTTTTAATATTTGATGACTTATCAGAAGGAATGTTATAATGCAGACCTTCTCTTCTCTCATGTATATTTGCTACAGTATAGATTAAAATAGCACCAAGTGCTCTAACATATAATATCAAAAATTTGAAAGAACTTTTTGTTTACTGGAGTCTAATGTTGGTGTTTTTACTGTAGATCTTTTCTCTGTTTGGTGACACATACATGCATGCACACACTCTGTAACATGGTAAGTACATTACTATGTATGAAAACCACTCCTATTTTGTGTCTATGTGCTGTCTAAGACATAAGCATCCTTTGCAAACAGCTTTGGGAAAGGTAAAGAGAGCATGGCGAAGTATATATATATACTTCTTGAAACTATTGGCAACAAATGACTAGCATCACTTTTACTTGCATTTTATTCTCAGATCTCATGTGAGAATCAGTCATATCACCATACTTTCACACAAAGGCTGAGAAATGTAGCCTTTAGCTGAAGAGTGCCTTTTTGCACTCAACTCTATACCATGGAGAAGGGAGAGGAGTGTTGATAGAAAGCTTCAGTCCGTGCACATATGATGGAAAGGCTCTTAAAGTCCAGTCTCTCAAAGAGTCAGCCTTTAGTCCTCCCTATGATACTCCTCACAGTTGACTGTCTAACCTGGTATGAAGTATATCTAGTGTTTTGAAAAGAATCAGTTGTTAAAAAATCTTCCTAATGTATTGTCAAGACTCTACTATGCATCAGTATTGTGGTCTCCTTGGTTTCGGACACACACTTTTTTTTTTTTTTTTAAAGATTTTATTTATTTGAAAAAGAAAGTAAGGGGGAGAGAGAGAGAGAATGAGTGCAAGCACGAACAAGGTGGCGGGGCAGAGGGAGAAGGAGACGCAAACTTCCTGCTGAGCTGATCCCAGGAACCCTAGATCATGTCCTAAGCAGAAGGCAGATGCTTAACCCACTGAGTCACCCAGGTGCCCCACTGACATACATTAAATTTTACATGTCTTTGAGATGTGGGTCTAGTACCATACCTAGGACTCGGTTTTCAGTATTTGTTATGCTTAGGGGAGTTTTATCATTTCCACCCTAGTTTAGGGTATTCTACTTTTGTCAATAAATTATACAAGCTGCATTTGTTTTCTTGGAGAGCTATCAATCTGCATTCATCTCAAGTTTGTGAGTCGCAGGTCCTTTCATATGAATTATGCCCCACATATTTACCTTATGACTTTCATGTATTTAGCAAATGCTTTATTCCTTTGGTTAACATATTTACCCCTGGACTTCTGCCTCAGCTGCTAAAGCTTCTCTGGTATTTTTTAACAGCTATGTCCTTATCTTTTGGAAAAACCAGAAATAATCATGCTGTGAAACGTGGCTGAGGCTACAGGTCACTAACTTTCTATAGTTAACTTTTGCTGTAACTTCCATGGTTTGATATGGTTCTTCCAGTTTTCACAACGATGCTTCAAAGATGGATTTTATCAATAAACCTAGTTCAGTCTGACTGAACTTGGTTTTTATGTTTGCTTTTGTTGTTTTATTTTTCTAATAAACAAAAGCAAAACTTATTTTATTTTTCAGGATTTTATACTTGGTTCATGATTATTACTGTATGAATACCTATGGCAAGAAAAGGTGGTAAAATTGCCTAAAATATCAGTATCTGGACATAAGTACTTTCAGTATTTTGATGCCCAATCTTTTGTAAATTCTCTTTGTGTCAATACATGTACATAACATGCCCATAGTGATATAGTTAGGTCAATATTATGAGCATCGTCTTTTCAATGACTTTTTTTCTCATTTTCATATTTTTTCTATTGTTGATGATGAGGCTACTTTAATTCTCTTCCATTTCCTTTCCTGCTACGGTAAATATTCCTGTATAGCTATTCTTTCTTCCTAATGCATTTTTGTCAGGCGGGATTGACGCTGCATTTGGAATTATGTTCTGGTTGCCCGTTTCAGCATTCTGTCTCATATGTTTTGGAGATGATCTAGAAATGTGCAGATCAGACCCTACATTCTTTTTTCATGATAAGTTCATTTTATTAAAAGAGTTTGGGCACTAGCTTTTTACTAGAATTTATACATTATTCTTCTATGTATTTACCCAATTTAGTACTTAGTCAACTCATGGAAAAGATGACTTTCCATTGGAGAGCTTACTTCACCCTGCAATTTATATATTAGAGTTTTGCAGAAATATTTTTAAGGATTATGAAACCTATTTCACATGACATAGTCTTGTCTAAGAAACAGCTTTTCTTTAAAGTTTTATTCAAATTTAAGAACCTGTGGTATTTCAAGACCTATCAAAATAGAATAACATCCCAGTCCAAAGAAAATGCTATTTATTTGATACCTAGCTTTAGTACCTCCATATTAAGTATTAATTTCTCTTCGAAAATGCTCTTAAACTTTTGATTCACAATGTATTTTATAATTTTCCAGAGATTGCTATTTACTTAGTTATTTAGTAATTTTTATAGCATATAATTTTGATCTATGAAAAATGTCCATATCCCTCGTTACATATCTTGTCATTGAGAATTTAAGAGATGTGTTTTGGACAGGACAGTATTGCTGAACTCATCAGCCATATTTTTCCCTTTATGGCATCATCTATTTGTTTATATTGATGCCTTACTTACTATAGGTGTGTGCTCATAAAGACATTGGGATTATAATGGTGAGGAAAATAGACATATTGTCTCATCTTAAGGAAACTTGCAGTTTAATGAGAAGACAAATATTAAGGAAATATATACGCAAATAAATGTAAAGTTATGACCTACATAAATGGCAGAAGAGGTGTGGTGAGTGAGATTGCCTAAGAGACTAGTTGACTACGTTGATTGTTGATTGATTGGCTGCTTCAAGGAAGGTTTTCCTGAGAGAGAGTTGAGCTGAGAGCTCTAGGATAAGGGAAGAGTTCCTATAGAAAAGGCTGAGATAGGAAGGGTCATGTCACGATTGAGTAAGTTTAAGAATGCCATTTAAGAGTTTTGGTCTTTATCCTGACAAAAGTGTAGGGCCAATACACAGAGGGGTGATGTGATCTAAATCACATTTAGAAAGAACCTGTGTATTTGTAATTTGGAGGAAAAATGTAGAAGGCAAAAAGAAGTGTAGGTTCCTAGTTGGTGGGTTTTTGCAAGAATCCCATTTGCAAAAAAATGGTAGATTGGTTGAAGTGGTTGTGGTAGTAGAGATGAAGAGAGGTAGATGCATTCTACAGATATTTGGTGGTAAGAATTGAAAAGATTTGATGATTGATGTCATTTGCATCACATTTTTGTATTTGCAAACACGGGAGAGGAAAGAATCTAAGATGATACCTAAGTTTTTGGGTAACCAGACTTGGTGGAATTTGGTGCCATTTGCTGAGAGGTACAAAATGGAGAGGACCAGTTTTTGAGAGAAAGGTCATAGGTTTGGTTTGGATCAGTTGAAGAGATCAGTTGTCTGATAGTAGATAGTAGATAGTAGATGTGACATTCTGGAATTACACAGTACTTCGGTTTAAGGCAGTAGGTAGTTTCTTTGAATATTATTTTAAAGTTTGCAATTCTTTTTAAAACTAGAATTTTGAAAAGTTTATTGCTCTTTGTTATTATTTAACATATTACCAAAAAAATAACTTAAATATTTAAAAATACACTTGATACTTTATGGGACTCTTCTAATACTTAATAGCTTTAAAGAGTGACTAGGCTTTGTTCTGTCTTGTAATTTTTTTATTTGCTTTTTTTGGCAACATAATATAACTATTCTCATCATCTAATAAATAGATTATATTGCTGTGAATGACCTTTCATTAATTAGCTGTAAACAAAATAATGTAGGCAAGAGTAGGGTATAAGGAGTTAAAAATTGTAACTAGTGGAGGCAACTGGCTGGCTCAGTCAGGAGAACATTGACTTGATGATGGGGTAGTAAGTTCAACTCTACATTGGCCGTGGAACATACTTAAAAATATATATAACTAGTGGCTATATTAGAAGTATATGGTGTTTTTTCACAGAGTATAAACAATTTTTAACATCAGAGATGATATGATTTTTAGCAGATATTTAAGGACAGTCACTCTGTCCCACATAATGGGTTATGCTAACCTTAGTTACGGATATTCTTGGTGGCATACTGTTTTATACAAACCCAGATCTGAAATGTTAATGTGCTCTATGAGTTACTCACTTTATTCTGATTATTTATGCTGTTGACTTTGTATTCCCCAAATATTAACAGTGTTAAAAATAACAAAATCTTTTGAGTTTGTGGAAGACTCTTAAGTGACTTTTCAGTGGAGCATTGACTAGTAAAGGATTTGAAGTTTTTCTACCTTGCCATAATCATTCCTTAGATAAGAGTCCATTATGTTTTTTTCCTTTATTAACATGAGAATAAAAACGAAATTACAAATGGTTTAGAAATAAACCATTTTCTATTCCTCGAATAGAAGTGAATATTATCAAAAAGAAAACAGAAACAATATAAAACTTTTCTAATTTCAATTTTGAGATTTTATTGCCTTTTAATGCAGTAGTATTTAGATATTTCTAACTTCAATCAAAATTTTAAGATGAATGCATTTTTCATGTTTTTAAAAACTAATATCTTATCATTTTTTATAGGTCTCATATCTTTTGGGTGAACAGAAGTCTACCTTTATGGGGCTTACAGGTTATGTACAATTTTGTTCTACCCCTCTACTTCTGGTTTTGTTCATATTTCATAGAGAAATACTGTTGGAGAGAAAACTATTGATATTAAAACTGAATTTGTTTTATTGCTTAATTTATCTTGATGCATGTCTTGGACAGATGTTTTTTTTCCCTATCCTTGTGTTTGCCTGAGCCCTGCATTCTACCTTTTGAGAATTTCCTTCTGATCAGGATTAGACTTCAGAAAGTTTTTGAGGGTATGGAGAAAAACAGAGTAAATCAGTGTATTAAGGCACCACAAGTTCTCAAAATGACTCTAGGTATTCATTTTATACAATCCTTGAAAAATTCATTAAAAGCCCATAACCGTGTTTGCTCTTTTACTGTTATCTACAGTGTCTGGAACATGGTAGAATCTCAGTAAATAATTATCAAGTGCATAAACAAGTGAATGGATGGCTCATATAACCAATAGCAAGAGCTTGGTCCCTAAACAGATAATTGTGTAAATAAAAGGAAAAATATGTTCTGGCATAAAAGGAGTCCTGAGGAAAGAGTAAGAAATGAGAGGGAACATGTCTGAATTATATTGTTGGGGTGTTCCCTAGAGTCCTCTATACCTCTTCTTTGTTCCTTTTCTGTTGAATTTTACGCCCAGCAAACTTTTTACATGTTCCCATTTCTTTCCTTTACATGTACTCTTGTCTCTCTCCTACAGATACTTTTTACTTTGTTATTTTTCAAAAGTAAAAGTTCTTTAAAGAGTACAGTCACTGAGATAAAAAGGCCAAAAATTACAGATTGGAAGACAGTTGAATCTTGGAAGTAATGGAAAGACTCTAAAACCGACTGTGTATAAACAGCCTTTAAAATACTTTAAAATCAAGAGTTTGGTTTGTTTTTTAGTCATTAGGATTGTGAAGTCTGTACATTTTAAATGTTATAATGGATTATTTTAACTATGTATGCATTGTGTTTATAACTATGAAATCAAGTTTTTACTGTCTCGATATTTCATACTTTTTTTTGAAGTCAAGTTGCATTTAATTTTTTTCGTACTGATTTTCATTGCAGTGTCATTAAGTACAAATACTTTTTCAAATATTTAACTGTTCACTAAAAATGTAGTCTTTTAATCTCTAGCTTGATTCCTATATTATTCTTCAGTGAGATACACTTTTAAAGTAAGTTAATATTTTTAAGAATAGTCATATATGGCCTTCAAATACATTTTCAAATTGCTTTTATCTGATAATGATATTTTACAATAATAATAATAATAATGTTCATTTTCAAATAGGATTTTGAGTAATCCATGCTACAAATGTTCTAAAGACCATCTAACACTACTTATAGAAAAAAAGCATGGATGATTATGATTTAAAGGACTTGTGGAGAACATTTAAGAGGTGTGCATTTTATATCAGAACAATGCCTGGCTTCCATATGTACTTCTGAATATATTTTACTTGTATTGCCATGCATTCATATGCTTTTTTATTGTACTTCTGTTTTAATATTCACTTAAATCAAAGTTTTCATTCCAATAGGAGTTAAAATTTGAAACTCCAGGGTATCTGCCTTTCTTATGCAGATAGTCTTAAACCGCAAAATCTTTAAATCAATATATTTGTTATTAGAGTAATTTCTTGTTTATGCTTGCTTATTTTGCTTCTATTCATCTACTCCAAAGTGCTGAAAGTACTTAGTACAAAATAATTTGGATATTTTTTCTAGTTACCTTTTCTGTTGCAGTTATAGCCTTTTGGTAGTTCAGCAGCAGAAATTGTATATGTAACAGAGAATGTAGAGAAAGGTGGAAGCTTGTCCAGGACATGCTCTTCCAGCTGTGAAAGAGGAATTGGTTATGAAATCCATTCAAATAAAATCTGGACGTATCTTGAACTGTTGATGTGGACTATTTTATTTAGTGTTCAAGGATGTTGCTGTTTTTTTTTTTTTTTGGTTGTTTGAGGTGGGTGACAGGAAAGAATGTATCTCTCAAGTTGAAGCTTACATTCTTTTATTTTCTGAAAGGAACTGCTGTCATTGATAGATGTTGTAGAGGTGGTGGAGGTGTTGCTGGGAGAGGGTAGTGTTTGTGGTGGTGCAGTTGTGTGTGATTATGCATATTAGGAACACACACAAAAGAACCTATTCTCTACATACCATGTAAACTCCAGCCAGTCTGACTATTCTAATTCCACATTTATATTTGAGATAATAAAAGTATTTATTAAGGAGTATTAGAAATATAAAACTAACCTGTAGTGTTGGGAATGGCTTGCAACCTGTCACCTGTATATAGAAGTTAGAGTGCCACATAATACCTCCTTATGTTTATATCTGTATATTATACAGATATATGCATACATACACACATATATGTCCATATTTATAAAGTTAATAGTATTACAATCATGAATATATTTTTAAAATTTTACTGCATTTTCTCATTAAGGTACTTTTTTTTTTCAGGTTTCAGTGGCATTGATAAGTCTGTTTGAAACAATACTACTTGGTTATCTCAGTTATAAGGTAAGTTATTTTAATTGGAAGTTTTTGGCTGATAGAACACATTACTAGCATAACCCAGTATTCCTCTATTTATAATTTATACCCTGGGGTAAAGCAAGTTCGTCTTAAACCTCTTTAATTATTTTGGGCCTCTGTGGTATGTGATAAAAATCTGTAGTATAATAATGTTTTCCTTGATGGCTTAAAATATTTCACTAATTCCTGTACTTAACTTACCTATTATATAATGCTTATGTGAGGCAAGCAAATGGAATGGTCTTGCTTTTAATTGTTCTTAACCTCTTTTCCTGATCTGTAGACAAAGATATTGAGGGAACAAAAGCATGTCTGCTAGGCATTATTTTAATGAATTATTTAATTTTTGGTGAGGCTGTGTCTGGCTAACACAATTTAACAAATATTTATTGAGTCCATATTTGATGAAGAGCTCCATACTGTGCATTGTTCTTTTCTCAGTGAGTTTCCATCTAGAAAGGGGGATAAGCAGGAAAAAATTATGCAGATACAAAATACAAATAATAATAATACAAAACAGAACAGTAGGTACTTCCTGTGAGGAGCAAATCAAGTCCCATGGGGGTAGAGAGATATCTTATCATATGATGAAAAGAAAATATTTGACTGATTTAAGCAGAGCAGAATCCTTGAATCAGTGATTTCAATAAGGAAAGATGAAAAGACAAGACACTAGGGATTTATAGAATTAGCAAAGGCATAAAAGAAGTAATGTGCATATAAAATTGGAAGAATAATATAGAAGTTTAGGCAGAATTTGGGGGCATTTGGGAAAATATTGGTTGGGAAAATTTGGCACAATATTGTGAGAGCCTTGTATAACAACATATAATGGGAATTTGATGGAGAATGTTGAACATGAGAGTTCTATAATTGTAATTAAGTTTTAAGAGTATTAGTTCAGAACATCTGTGCAGCACAGGTCAGAGAGACTGAGAGCCATGTGCTAAATTAAGACACAATTATAGGAAGGAAAACTGGGAATGAGTTTTTGGCTGGGTCAATAGAATAGACAGAGTTGATGCAAGATGAAATATAAAGAAATCATCAACCAATCGGTTGAGAAAGTTGAGGAAAAGCCACGATCAAACATCACTTTAACATTTTCTAAATTCAAATGACTGGGATCATGGCAATAAAACTTAGAAAATTTACACCAAGAAAAAATCAGATTGGAGTCAAGATAGATATAATAATGGAAACAGTTTTGGAAATAGTGAATTTGAGGAGCTTATGGATAGATAGGTAGACATGACATGTGGACAACTAAAAATGAGAATCTGGAACATGCAGGGAAGAGACATTTAAGATGTGGAGGTCATTTTCACAGAGATGGTGAAAGAAGCATGTAAGTGTCTTAAGTATGGGATAATAACCAACGGCGAAGCTAAGGCTCCTTTGATGGAGATGCTTCATTATGGTTGTTGAAAGAAGGACAGAGTAATCAGGGAACGCAGAGACATAAAAAGAAAGGTAGAAAGACTTTGGAAATCATTTGTTATTCACTTGTATGAAACCAATTTCAATGGTATACAATTAGGAGTAAAAGTGAGAAATGAAGAATGTTGATTAACTGGGTCACTACCCTAGATGTGGTCAAATGAGGCAGAGAGGATTGCCCAATGATGGAAAAGATCTGCATCCTTTAGAGAAACTAGGTAGAAAGGACTAAAAAAAAAAAAAAATGATAGATGAAGCAAGTTTTACACAAAGTAAGGATGAATAAATTAAGTAATTGGTAGCTATTTATGGTTTATAATTAAGGCAAATTTGGATAGCAGAAACTCAATGAGCTCCTCCTCTGAAATTAGATTTTTTCTTCAAATTAGATTTTTGAGAAAAATTATAGAGAGGTACACAGAAATAGATAGTGCATTAGCAACTATATACATTCTAATATTGTTCTTTGATACGTTAGGTTCTAAACTATCAACGTTAATAGCAAATCAATATTTATTTTTATATTTGTTTACATGTATATGCAGATAATGTGCATATTGTATATATTATATACATATATATAATATTGAAAAGCAAATTTAATACAGTAACCTGTAAGCACTTTATAATTCTTGAAGTTAAGCATTCTACAATAAGCATGATGACTTAATCCTTAACAGAACAGTTTAAACAATCGTGGAGACTGCAGGTTTCGAAAAACAAAAACAATGAATAAAAAGAATTTTAAATGAGCAAAAACTCTATCAAGTGCATGTAGAGGTTAGCAGATAATGATTTAAAAATCCCTGACATCAACTTATTGAATCCTCCATCCTACAGAAGTGCAGGTCTGTACTTAAATCATCATTCCATTCATGTTTATAGCTCCTTGGCAGAACAACCACGGGATCGCCCAGCAGTAAAGTTCTTATTCTTCTGTTACCATAAATATCCTCTATGTCTTTATCAACTGCTTTCAAAATAGAACTCTATTTATACACACACATTCATTAAATCAAAAGGAAACGAAAACAAACCCCAGCATAATTTCCAAAATTCTGCAAACAAAAATCCAACATACCTAGAAGGCTTCTGTTAAATCTACAGTTCTTTTTTCTATAATCACTTTATAAAAAGCAACAGTTTTGAAATTTTAACACATGATGGGCTCCTTTCTGGCAAAGAACAAAGGAATTGACTAGGACTCCCAGACACCCATAGATACTGGTGATTCTTCTTCTTGTTCTTCTTCTTTTTTTCCCCCTAAGATTTTATTTATTTTTAGAGAGAGAGAGAGAGAGCGCAAGGGTGTGAGTGAGAATGGGACTAGGGGCAGAGGGGAAAGGAGAGGCACAAACAGACTCCCCACGGAGCACCATGACCTTGAGGTCATGACCCAAGCCATCGGAAATCAAGAGTTGGTTGCTTAATGGACTGAGCCACCCAGGTGCCCCAATACTGGTGATTTTGCTTCTGGTGCCATGGAAATGGTGAATCTGATTATTTTTCAGTTTATATTTAGAGATACAAAATAAGACTACCTTAGGGTTACTACACTATTTTAAATTCACTAAAAGAAGATAGGTTATCAGTCTTTTTAGTTTCGTCTTTACATACAGGTATTTTTTTTTTTTTAAGATTTTATTTATTTATTTGAGAGAGAGAGCAATAAGAGAGACCATGAGAGGGTAGAAGGTCAGAGGGAGAAGCAGACTCCCTGTGGAGCTGGGAGCCCAAAGTAGGACTTGATCCAGAGACTCCAGAAACATGACCTGAGCTGAAGGCAGTCACTTAACCGACTGAGCCACACAGACGCCCATACAGGTATTTTTAATATTGAAGAAGAAAGTGTTTTTAAAAAGTTCCTGGGTACATCTTGGTCTAACAACAATATTACCATACATCTTATAGTTTTTTGAGTGCGTTTTAGAGGTACATAGATAATAGTTACAACTTCCATTTTTATTCATGATAAAAATAAAGCCTGATACATTTTAGAAAAGTATCTATTTTCCTGCATTTTTATTGATTAAGGAAAGTTAGGTCCATACCAAATGTTGTAAAATGGTTGGATTAATGTTTATTTATACTTTATTGAATTCCATAAGAGAAACGTAGTTCTACACACTTAAAACAGATAAAGCTAAGAAATTATTTTTCTTCTCTCTCTCTTTTTTTAAAGATTTTATTTATTTATTTGGCAGAGAGAGCAAGAGAACACAAGCAGGGGGAGCAACAAAGAGAGAAAACAGTCTCTTTGCTGAGCAGGGAGTTTAGCGTGGGGCTCGATCCCAGAACCCTGGGATTGTGACCTGAGCCAAAGGCAGATGCTAACAGACTGAACCATTCAGGAGTCCCTAATTTATGCATTAACATACTTCTTAAGCCCTAACAGGCAAGGAAACAAGCAGTTCTGTAACATGTTATTAACACTTATCCAGGAGATTAGTGGTAAAGGCATAGGGAGTGGGGCATTCCAAGCAGTAGGAGAAGTGTGAGCAGAGTTATAAAAGTATGAAATAGCCTAACTTATTCATAGAACTGTATAAAATTCAGTATGGATGAATCTGTGGCTGGATTCAAGATGGAAATAAAAGTATAATAGATACAAAAAGACCAGTAACCAGAGTCCAGATTATGAGCCTTCATATAATCCAAGGAATAGTTTGGATATTATTATGTTGGTAGTGGCATTTTAGAAAAAATCTTTTGGCTTTAATATAGAAGATAAATCAGAAATTAACCAGATTAAGTCAGATAACACTTATGAGACTCTTAATTGTTTGAGAAAAAAAATCCATGAAATAAAATTGATGTATTACAAAAGGAAATGAAGAGAGTCATCAGAGATATATAACATTTTTGTTTACTATGAACTAAAGTTGTCCAAACAGTATCTCATAGTTAAGAAAACTAATATTAACCTTGCTGTGCATTAATAGAGATATGCTGACATATCACCAGTGGTAACTGTTTCCACACCCTTCCTTCTCTTGTTGGTCACATCTGTCTTTTCCCCAGCAACTGTCATTAACACCAAAGAGAGAGGTACAATCACCAGTAAAAACACACCAAGGATGAAATAAGCCAAATGTTAAACATTCAGTAAAACAAAACAAAACAAAACAAAACAAGACAAAAAAACTGGTGAATGAAATGGTAATTTAACATGCACACCCCAAATCAGTCATAACTGCTTTATTGAACCAACTTGACTTAGCACAAGTAGGAAAGGTCTTTAGTCTTCAGACACTTTTCCAAATCCACACAGCCTCCTGATCCATGCTGGTCAGATGATATGTTGTCAAGGTCCCAGAACATTTGTAGTTTCCAATCACAAGGCAAATTTCAGTTTAGTATTTTAGAAATTATGCTCAATACATATAAACATTTAAAATTTTCATTCACTCCAAGACTTCAGCTTAACCTTGGCTCAGACCTGCTTGGGACGGGGAATCCTTGTGAGGTTATCTGTCATTCCCACTTCCTTTCTTATTTAATGTTGCTGATCCTGGTCCCTCTGGGGCTGAGGAGGCACAGGGAGTGAAGTCAAGTCACCATCTGGAATCAAGGTGCCGAACTGGCACAAGTAGAGAGTCTCGTGTTGGGTTGCTCTGCATGACAGACACAAGTAGGGCCGCTGTGGTCTTCTGCAGACCTTTGCCTGGTGCTCCTCGGATGCTTCAGTGCCTCTGGTTGGCCGCTAAGGCTGTGACCCAAGCCGTGGACCTCTGAAGTCCACCAGCTGTTGAAGTCTTGTTTCGCCTTCAGGCACACCGCTGTGCCGAGTGTAAACTCCTTTAAAATGGCCATAGATTTTATTCTTTAGAGTCTCGTTTGGTTCCCAGAAAACAAGTACCTTTGTCCTAGAATTGGCGTCATTGTGGCTTGCTCTTGTTTCAGCCTTCTTTTCTCATTGCACTGTTGTCTCTTCATGTTTAGATGTCTCGGGCATGAGCCAAATACAGTCTCTATGTGTGAGCCAAGCTCCCAAAGTGGTTCTCTTGAGGAAGCACAAAAGCATCACTAATATGTCAGTACAGAGGGTTACTCGTTGCTTGCATTTCTTCCTCCTGTTCCCCCTACCACTTTCTGGATAGCCTGGAGATGGTGAAGAATGACATACAGCAAAACTTATTGCCTAATATTTGAGTTCATGATTATTAGCCAGTCTAGAACCTTGCTTTGTAATGTGGTAGTATCTTCTATTACTGTAATATTTGAAGCCTTTGGGACCTCAAGGAAAATTAAGAAAAGTTCCTAACTTTGAAGCCAGTGTTATAAAATGACTGGAAAATACAGGGACCCAGATTTCAAATTGCTTTTCTAATATGGAGATCTCTTCAAAGAAGAATAAACTGCTTTAGGGAGTTCTGAGTTTTTTCTTTTTTTCTTTTTCTTCCCCCCCCCCCCCCCCCCATTGGATACCATTTAAGAAAGTGTCAGTGATTAACCTGTTTATATCAGACACAACTTCATGACTGTGTAGTATGCATTTGCACACGGCTATACCTTTAGAAAGGCCTGTGCTTATTTTTTTTTATTAACATGTATTTCAGAGGTACAGGTCTGTGATTCATCAGCCTTACACAATTCATAAAATGCACCATAGCACATACCCTCCCCAATGTCCATCACCCAGCCACCCCATCCCTCTGACCCCCCTCCCCTCCAGGGCTTGTGCTTATTTTAATATTCTCCTGTCATCTTCTGGAAATTGTTCATAATTTGTTAATAAGAAGCCCTGAATTTTCATTTTGCATTAGGACCCACAAATTACGTCACCAGTTTTAATGAATACTGTTGTACTATCTGGGTTGGATGATTAGAATCTAAATGATTGAAAAAGTCCTTCCTTTAAGTTTTAACATAGAAACAATGTTAATACCAATGAACGTTAACAAATGTATGTATTTACAAGCTATTTAACATACTTTATAGTTTGTGAATATAACTCATGTAGTAAAAAAATTAAGATTGAATCACTTTTTACTGATTCTGTACCGTCTTTATTATGGGTATTTTTACTAGTAAGTTTTCTTCCATGAAATATTATATGATCAAAATGTGTTGTGTGCAATATTCCAGACTTACTATAAATGTTTGTTCTACTTCTTAAACTTACCAAAAAATTGAAAGAGTACAATTATATTGAGAAAAATACTCTTTAAAAGTTATTGCTACATTTTTATGTAATGATTTGGTATTCTGTTAATGTAAGCATCCTTGCTAGAGAAATTCTGAGTGCTGTCTTTTTCCCCCTTTAATGGGATTCAGTATAATTGACTTTCATTTTTATTTATTCTTTCTTGGAAGGGAAACATCTGGGAACAGATTTTACGAATACCCTTCATCTTGGAAATAATTAATGCGGTTCCCTTCATTATATCAGTAAGTCCTAAAAGCATCTTTAAAATAAATAATTTTGTCATTAGACTTAAGTCTCTAAATCTAAATACTAATAAGTAATACATTAGCTCCAATAAATGATTTTAGGCTTTGGTTAGGATCATGGTATTAAAAATAAATAGTAAAATCAGTTGGATAACTGGATTATGAAATTAAATGAAAACAAATGTTATTTAGTGCAATAACAAAATAAAATACTTTTTTAGACATATATGCTCTGGATTGCCATGTGAATAGGTGTTAATATTATCTAGATAGAGTAGAAATTAATCACTCCATTTCTTGTGTATATTGCAGAATTTAAAAAAATAGTAGAAATTAACAAGAAAAAAAAAATCAGACCTATAAGTACAGAGAACTGTTGGTTGCCAGAGGGAAGGGAGTTGGGGGTTGGGCAAATTGCACCCAATTTGGTGCAAGGGAGTGGGGATACAGGCCCAGTTATGAAATGAATGCCATGGCAATAAAAGTCATAACTTAAGGAATATAATCAATGATATTGTAGTAGTGATATCATAGGACAGATGGTAGCTACCCTTGCGGTGAACATGGCATGATGTATAAACTTGTGAAATTACTAAGTTGTACACCTGAAACTCATATAACATTGTATGTCACCTATACCCAAATTAAAAAAAAAATAGAAATGAAGTATTGATAAAAGTTTTTCATACTGAGCGTATATTTATTTCTAGCTTAAACACAATATTTACTAAGTCCAATTCTCCCATTAATAAGAAAGTTGCCAACAGCCAGACAATTAGCAATTTGCTTCTTTATCAGAGTACTGTGGAATACCAATTCTACAATGATCCTGCTCAATTGCAGCCCCATAAGTATGTAACAAACACTTTCCCATTGCAAAATTAGGTCTTAATCTGTATTTCATAGAGTTATGATAATGTCTGTTGGGGATATGCTTTCTAACACTTCCTTTGAACTTTATTTGGAAAATTATGAAAATAAGCAAATACTATTTTAAGTGGTTGCTTATTTCTGACAATTATTTTAATTTGAGTGATTTATCTAGAGGAACAACTGGAACTAGATTAAATGACAGGCTAAGTAAATATAATCCAATTGAATATGGTTCCCAATGTCACTTAAAATGTTTGAATCTGAAGAGAGTAAGTGGTAATGTTATGAAAAGGGAAAGCCTTCTCTCCCTCCTTATTCCTACTTTCCCCCTTGAGCTGTAGGGAAGAAAGAGGTGATGTCTATTATAAACTGTCACAATGAAAGATTAATGATAGAATTACCATAGTTATAGCTAACATTCAGCAGAGCTCATTTTTTTTCCTTTCTGCTTCTACAATAATTTCCCAAAGAATTTTTCCCTAAGTAAGACTTAGACCAATGAATGAAAAGATTGGATCTTCTCCTTGCGTTTCATTAATGAGTTTAAAGAATTTATCACATGTATTAAAAATTTTAGTCTTTATTAACTTTTTTTTTTGTTCTACATTTTAATCTGCTGGATATGATTTTTGCTTTGAGATAAAAGTTTAGTTTTGGTTTGTTTTTTAGATCTTCTGGCCTTCCTTAAGGAATCTATTTGTCCCTGTCTTTCTAAACTGTTGGCTTGCCAAACATGCCTTGGAAAATATGATTGTAAGTATGAAAATGAAGTGTAAATACAACAATATTTTTACCCTTCCATTATTTCTTACATACTTTCACTGCTTATATTAAACAGAAAGAGAAGATGATTTGAGGTCTCAGTCTTGTACTTCTCCATTTTTCTTTCTCCTATGAAATATAAACTCATACTGTTGTGATTTATTTAGGTATAATTAAATTTCTAAATTCTTCATTTTTAAAAGAAATAAATTTACTTTAAATTAATAATTAAAAAATAAATTTAGCATCCCAGTAAATAATTTCATTTAAATATTTGTAAAAATGAATAAGATTTTTATCAAATAAAGTAGTATGTTATATTAATATTGAAGACCTTAAGTCTGCTTGTATCCTAATTCAGAGTAAAAACTTTTTGAGCTATCTTAACTTGGCCCATATTGCCAAGTTACCACCTTTGTAAGTCCCTGTGACCTGGTGAACAAAAACAGTTCCGATTTTCTAAATATCACCAGTCCAGAGCTACCAATAACTTTGGTTTTTTGTCTTAAGAGGAGAACAAAAGTAGTTACCTTACAGACTTTGCTATAAGAATTAAATGAAACTACATATATGTATAAGCACGTAGGTGTGTGTGGAGGTGTGTGTGTGTAAAGTATTGTATCTGGCATAAAAATAATAAGGACTCAATACTGTTAGTTTTACTATATTGAAATTACATTTGTTTGGAAGCAAACTGGTTTTCCTTTTAAATGTTTTTGAACAGAAATGGAACACAAAAATTTTAGCCAAAGGAATATTTGTGTAGCATTTGAGTATTCACAATCAAATGAATGTTTCTAAACATTTATGTTAAATAACTACTGGAATCTCATGAAAATACATGTCCAAATGATAGGGGAGTATGACCTGTGGAATGGTTTGAAGAAATGTTGGGCTGTCTTCACTATTCCCCCCTAAAAAAATACTATTTCACTAAATAAAGATTGCCTAAACTGCTAAAGAAAGAAATACACAGGGAAAAAATAAACCTCTTTATACTAATTTGTGTTCTTAGTTGGTGGAAAAAATTTGCCTAACCAAGGGAGTCATTAGTCAGTCACTGAGAGTGAAAGTAGTATTTTGCAATATTAATTTAGAATTCATTTTCCATTGTGTTTCTGTATTTTGCTTCTCTTTTCACTGGTTGGAGAAATTTTTACTTATTTTTCTGCTCATTAACATGTCTGTTAAAAAGAAAGTAAGGGATGAGAGGTTAACTTCTAATCAACTTAGTTTTTTGTTTTCTTAACAGTTCTGGTTAAGTATGTGGTAGAGGAGGATAAAATAGTGGCTTAGTGAGATTTTATATCGGTGAAGTGATTCATTGCATGCAACACTGACTTTAAGACAGTTAAAAGTTCATTATAAAATATTTGAGATGAGCAGAAACCTACAAAGTATGAAAAAACCTGTGAATCTACCAATATACTATATAATAATCCTATATTATATTATATTATATATATTATTATACTATAATAATAATTTATATCCTTCTAATATTTCCTATAAAAATACACACATATCATATATGAAATTACAGTGTATGTTCAGTTTCATAATTTGAATTTTGAATTTTGTTTTTGTAGTGCTCAATTTCATATGTCTTCAAATCATTTTTCATAGCTGCATATAAATCTGTTATACGGTTTTGATCATTTTATTTAACCATTTTGTATTGCGTGTTTTAGTTATTTTATTAGCAATGAACATTTATTATATTTATTATATATATAAGTATTATAATTTTATAATAAGGTGAACATAAATATTAATTTTTATCTCTGGTGATTTTCATGTGGTCAGTTTTTAGAAATTATGTTATTGAGTAAATACTGATTAAATTAATTAATGAATGCATGAAATAAAAAGAGCATGGCTGTGACCTCTGTTACCGAATCACCTTTAAGAAATTTTATAACAAATTACATGGCAATATCAATCATTTCTGAGTGCTCATGTTTTATATTTTAAACAACACTGAGTATTATTATTTTTTAATGTTTTTCAATTGGAAACATAAAAAGTATATCTTTAATTCATCTTTATATTAATGAATTTAAATTTAAAAATTTTATTCATTGACTGTTTTGCATTTTCCTTTTAATGGCATATTTCATGTCGTTTTTCCTGATTCAGAGAATGAGATGTGATTGTAGTTTGACTTAGCTATTACTATTAAAATTAGAATTTTTCATTAGAGACATTGCTCACTATGGTGGACTTTTTAGGAGTCAGTACAATATCTCTGCAGATCTTGATAAGGGGAGAGTAAACTGAAATTTGGGGCTTTGGTGGTCCCCCATAGTATTATCTTTGTAATATGAATGCTAAGGTGAAGCATATTTAGACCTAGGCAAAAATGGAAATATGAAGCTATATCCATTTAAAGTATATCCATTGAATGTGCACAAGATATATATAATATGATGAGGTACAATACACACTAACAAATGTAGTGAAACTCATGGATATGTAGTATTTTCAAAATTAAAATAGGCTTCTTTGGTTTTATTTTAGAATGATCTGCACAGAGCCATTCAGCGTACACAGTCTGCAATGTTTAATCAAGTTTTGATTTTAATATCTACATTACTATGCCTTATCTTCACCTGGTAAGACTGTACATACCATTTTTATTATCTCATTTAATTATAGTTTTTAAATATACATCATTTTAACTCAGTTGGCTAAAATAAGTAGAGAAATATTCACTATAAATGTAAGGAGTCACCTATAGACATAAAAGTAAAATCTCTTGTTCAGTCTTACAGAAAAAACAAGAAGGTGCATCTATCATTTGATACTGATGTTTACTGCAACTTTGACATTTTCCCCAATGTTGTAAACAGTCAAGTTACAAGAATTTGTACTGCATGCCACAGTTGTCAAACAAGAAATTTTCTTTCAAACGGCTGACATGGAGGTGCCCTTATCTTTCTACAATCTTCAAAGCAGAAACACTGTTGAGAAAACTGTCATTGCCTGTCACTGTCTCTGCCTGTGCCTTCCCTCCGTGATGTTTTAGTGTGCAGTCAGGCAGAAAGCAAGGGCAGATCTCCTGACAAAGCAATGCAGGACCTGGTACTTTGCTTTGTTATAGAAAACAGTTATTTCTTCTTCTGGAAAGTCTCACTTTGATGATTATAAAGTAATCCAGTGGGAAATGTTGTGCTGCACATATGGATTCATATAGATCCTTAAGAGGAGAAAAAATGTGAAACATAAAATAATGAGGTAGAATAATATATCTGTTTTGTAGGAGTCCTAGATATTATATGTAATTGTGCTCTGTCCTGGATTTGACCTATCAAGAAAGAGAAAAAGTTAATTAGGAAGTACAAAATAAGAAGAATGCCCTCATATGCTAGTACAATTGAATTAGATATAAAAAGAGCTATAGATATATATAAACATAGGTAGAGATATGTAGGTATAGCAACTACTTTGTATCAGTACTTTGTAGTTAATTCTCTATTAACTGGATTTAAAATAGGTTTTATTACATACTTTATATCTCGAAAAATAAATACAGTTTAAGACATTAAATGTCCTTAAGTATAAGATATCTCTCTAAAATTGACACAAAGCCATCTTATAATTTTAATCTTTTTTACTGCTCACAAATTGTTTTTATTGTTCACCTAGTAAACACCTAGCTGCATAAATATGAAATATTAAAAGGAATGATTTCCCTCCTAAAGTCACTAAAAATTCTTAATTTTAAGATAATAACATTATATTAATAGTTTAGGAAGTTTTTTTATCATTTTATTTATGGAAAAATTCTCCAAATTAAAATTTTTTGAATACCTGTGTACATGCTAATATTTCAAACGCTGGAAAATTACAAAAAGTGAAATGAATGATTTAAAAAATATTATTAGAGTATGTTAAAGTAAATTTAGTAAAGAGGTAATTGAAATATTAATGCTGAGGGGCGCCTGGGTGGCTCACTCAGTTGGGTGTCTGTCTTTGACTCAGATCATGATCCTGGGGTCCTGGGGTCACACCCCTCACTGGGCTCCTGCTCCGCAGGGAGTCTGCTTCTCCCTTTGCCCCTCTCCCTGCTCAAGCTCTCTCTCTCAAATAAATAAATAAAATCCTTTATTAAAAAAAGAAATATTAATGCTGAAATAAGGACAAGTTATTTTTATCTGAAAACACTTCACTCAGCACTTTTGTTTTGAAGACATCCTCATCATAGTGGTGGGCTCTCTGCTCTTACTTTTTGCCTTTTTGTCTGTTTCTTGTGTAGATTTTATTTTCTAAAGAAGCAAATAGACAAATTTTGCTACTTTCTCATACCTAGGGATGCAGCAGTGCTAGATAATGAGTTTTTGTGATGTATATGAAATGGCCATTATGCAGTTTATTTATCATTTAAATTATTTGTGTCTTACTTTTTATCTGCTGTTGGAGTTGCTTTTGTTGTTGTTCTTGTGTGTTACTGGTTTTCATAATGTACATTATAAATGTGCAGTGTTATTGCTTTTAATCACGTGTACAGCAATATATTTATTATTAATACATTTACATAAACATGTTTTTTAAATTATAGTACCTAAAACAGATAAGCTGAAGTTTGATGTCTCTGTGTATTCTTCTCTAGCATTCCAAGCAAAATGTCTCCATAAGTCATGACCATCATATGAGGGTAGAATAAATCTTTTTTCGAATTCACCATCAAAACTGTAGTTATTGATAAGAAAAATATAAACAATGTTGTATTAGTTATAATTCACAGGCTGTTTTAACAAAGAGTTATACCACACAGACACTGTAAAATACAAGTATACACAAAGGTTCAGCAACTTAAACAAATGGACACGTGTAAGTAGTCTGTCCAAGAAGGTTACATCAGCTTCATATTAATTGATACTAAATTTCCTTAGAATTTGTTTTCTGCCATTCCCAAAACATGGTTTCTGTAACGTGGCTCGAGATGGCTAGTCTACTCTTGCCATTATATCCTGAATCCAGCCTGTAGGAAGGAAGAAGATAAAGCACAACTCAGAAATTACATGCATAATATAGCCCAGAATTTGCTCATATATCCAAACGTAGCCGATAGGGAGTCTACAGAAATCTGGTCTAGCTGGGAAAGAGTATACCCAGCTGAATGTTATACTATCATGGAAGAGAAACCAGATACTGTGGAACAATAAGCAATCTCTTGCACTGGTAAGTCGTAAAAACCCATATGTATATCACTTGTTTAAAACTCAGGGCTATGCCAGTTTGGAGCCTATGGGCAACTTACTGAAATTATCCAGCTTTATTTGCCACATTATTAAATGAGGATAATATTAATTATCCTATAAGACTTTTGCCATACTTTTCTTTAATGAAGACTAAGTTAGATATGCTTATACAATGTCCATCAGAGGATGTGGCATTTGGTATGAACACTCCAAAAATTTCATTTTTTTCCACCTCAATCTTCCATATATTCTGTATCTTCTGTATATAAGATGATTAAATTATGTGACTGCACAAAAACTAATTTGATCTAAAAGATCTAGGCATAGTAACTTAATAATAATATAAAGCTGAACTGAGATGCCTAAAAATATATTTAATGGGACATATGAGGAAACATTTTCCTTCATTATAATGTATTCAGGTTTTCTGTACTTTCTACTTATTCCTAATATTTGTTTCCTCTAGTTAGCTCCACTAAATTAAAAGTATTGGTAGCATCTCCCTCTCTCTGGGTACCTTTACTACTTTATACTATACAAATTCACACACACACTCTGTCTCTCTCTCTCTCTCTCTCTCTATATATATATATATATATATATAAAATTATTTTTTTACATTGTGATGAAATTAGCCTTAATTGCAGTTACATTATGTCATAGAGCAAGACTGTTAGTGCTTTTCCAAATCAGAATTTTTAATGCATACAATTTAAGCCCCCAAAGATTCAGGAGATAATATTTGATGAACTGGATGTTTTCACGAATTTCACAATGTTAAAATTACCTGTTTTGGAAAGCTGCTCTATAGTTTTAAAATGTATCTTCTCTTCATCATGATTAACATTACAAAGAACTATCATTAAGCATCTGTCTACAAGAGATACATGCCAAACTGAAATAAAATTAAGCTGCTGACCCACTCTCTGTAGGGGATGTGCTCAGAATTGTTTTTCCTGTCATTGTAATGGAATTTGGACTAATCTTTCCCCACATCCGCTGTGTACCCCTCTTGATCAATAATGCACACTTCCAAGACAGCTGGGAATTGTGATTCAGCCTGTGTCTCTGTAACAAAGCAGAGGAAACTGGTACATTGGGAATCAAGCACATGACTTTAGCTTAATTATCAACATATTCTAACCAATAATAAGTACTCTAATTTGTAATGCATTTGGTGTTTCTAATTTTACACTAGTAGGCTTATTTTGCACCTACTTTGTTTCAAACTGTAATTTTTTATTTGAATATGTATGTTTAGATATTTTCACATTATTTCATAGAGCTGTAACATCAAGATCTGAATTATATTCATGGATATTTCATGTTTTAGTCCAATGTAAGAAATTTAGTTTACCTTCTCAGTCTCATTTCAGGAAAAAAGAAATCCATTTATTGTTTAAAAATATGACCTAGTTAAAATTATTAACATGCTTAATTCAAAAAGTATTTGGAATTTTCTTGTACATCTTTGATTAACGCTTATTTTGATGCTCGGTGCTGAAGTTCTTGAACTCTTTTTACTGATTTAACTCTTAAGGCAAATAGCCTTGTGACAGGAAGTGGACAGTGAAAAAATAAGAACTGAATTTTAGAGAAAGTATTAAACCATCATCTAATGGTGTTATCGCCATCATGGTATTTGGTCACTAGATTTATTTGGTCACATTTATTTTGGTTTATTACCAATGAATGACAGAAAGTGTGTTTGTCTGAAGATCTGGAAACAAAGAGCCCCCAGGTTTGTATTACACTAGAACATATAGAAAACTCTTTGTCCCAACTAAATTTTCCGTAAGTGGGAAGGCAGATGTTAGACAATTAGAATTTAAACCATCATTGAGTTATGAGGGTAATGTATAGTTATTTTCAGACATACAAAAACTTAGAAAGTATGCTACTTACCTATTATTAAGTATGTACTGCAGGAATAAGAAAAGAATAAAGTGAAAGGAAAAATGTATAGCTTATGAGAATCTGTGGTTTATGCAATAGCAGCACCTTAGATCTTTCTCTGGGAAACCCCATTTTCATACTGAGTTGTATCAGAAGTGCAGTTGAGGGCTTATCCAGGAAGAGGCGGAGTCACCATTTTTAATTTCCATGACATAGGTACCTAGCCAAAGGATGTTTTCAATTAGAAGGTGGGGTGAAGGGGTGAGAGAAAGCCAAAGTGGTTGTGCCACAGCAATTTTCATGGTACAGATCAGAAACAGAGGCACAGGGGTGCCTGAATGGCTCAGTGGGTTAGGCCTCTGCCTTTGGCTCAGGTCATGATCTTGGGGTCCTGGTATTGAGCCCCGCATCCGGCTCTCTGCTCAGCGGGGAGCCTGCTTCCCCCTCCCCCTATGCCATCCTCTCTGTCTACTTGTGATCTCTCTCTCTGTCAAATAAATAAATAAAATTTGAAA